TATGAACTCGTAAGGAGACTCGGTTCAAATAAAAACGTGCAATATTAAGTATAAACTCTGAAACGTATTAATTCAGGTATTGGGATCAAAATCTGGACATGCGTCCTTCAATGCACCGAATTAATGAAATTACTAGGAGGATTTGTGAATTTCTACCAGGCTCTGATATTCCGTTGGAGTACGCAAAGGCCGGAATAATGAAAAATTATCAAGGTAATATTTTATGATTTGTATTTTGCTTATAATAACCAAAATCAACTTTCAGGCTCGTTGGACAAATTAGATGCTTCGTGTGAGAAGAATTATGTGTTGTGCTAAATTTTTTTTTATACATACATAGTTTCTTTAATATTTTGTCTATTTTGTCCAGACTGTGTCGAAAATACTGAACACAGGGTCAGTAGTACTTGAGGTACATGGTCTTCAGGAAGTTCTAAAAGCTCTTTACCTAACACTGTTTCCTCCTCTGGTCCAGTAACTGAAGATGCAGATGAGAAATTGAGGGTAATTTCTTGATAGTGTTTACTTGTTTGACTTTGCATTTCTAAATATGTGGTATGTAATTGTAGAATTTAAAATCTGCAACGGATTATAGGAAATTTGAACAAAGTGACGACTTAATCGAATTCGAAACACGATCTCAAGAAAACCCAAATACCCCGTCTTCTAACACGAAGGACCAGTCTCAACTTAGGCTGTTTGCCGGCTAAGCGAGTTTCGAGTTCTAACCTGTCTAGTTTTATAGGTCAGGGTAGTAGAAGAAAAAGTCATAATGGGCGCGTTGCCAGAAAATGCCTCCGTCACCTGCTGCAGGCCAAAAACGGAAGATTTCGCCATGTCAATTTTTGACACCTTTAGGGGCCATTATATCTAAAACGGCTAAAGATTTCTTAATACTACCAATTCGAGAAATGATGGTACTTACATAAGGTTACTAAAAAACCGCATACCGAGTTATCATCATTTAAACCCGCTCCACTAAAAAATCCGATGTCACAAAAATCAATATTTTTTCTACGTTTTTTCAAATATTTCGCTTAATATGCTTAAATCTCACCGTAGGTTTTGGCTCAAGTAATTTTTATTTGGAAGAGCAACTATACCCATACAACATATTAAAAATTTGGAGATGGGTATCTCTTAGTTTTCGAGATAAAAAATCAAATATGTCAAAATTTAACACCGAAAACTTGATAGTTTTGCATGCTTTGACTAAAGGGTATGCATGAATGACGTATTTTGGGTTTTCATATGTTTAGATGGAAGAAATACTCTAGCCTAATAATTGATGAAATATCTGGGTCCCGGTTTTCTAAAATTTTCCGTTTTAAATAATAACCAGTAAACTGTAAAATTTAAGATGTAAGTATTTCTAGGTGTTGGAGACTAAATCAGATTATATTATTACTTTATATTATTATTATTACTTCGTCGACACTAGTTCTGGTCATTGCCCACCTATGGTTGGTAGTTTGACGTCACTACTCAACCCCGGTAAAGAGAAAGTCCATCCAATACACATGTTCATAATTGATAAGTGATACAAATACAAATAATTTTCAACCCCTCCTCCTTGAACTTAAATTGCACCGGACATATAATTAATTGATAAACATGGTAAGCAGTTAATTTACTTTATTTTATATCTGGTAATAGTTCTGTATTTTGTATGTATGTTAGAGGTGAGCTGGATCGACTTTTTTTGAGATCCAATCCATCCAAATCCGCTTGGCCCAAACATTTTCAGATCCGATCCATCCAAATCCAATTGCTCCAAAAAAATCAGATCCGATCCATCCAAATCCAGTTGGATCGGATCGGGCCATGGATTATCCAAAAAAATTATCCAGTTCGCCTATATGGTTTGAAATTCAACCTTTGAATTTTAAAACGAGCTTTTATACATGCAAAGCTTATGGCAGGCAAGCCTTTCGTTTAAAAAAGTCAAACCATGGGTTAGGGATAAATGTGATTGGGAGTCTCAATTTATTTGTGTGTACCACACCAAAAATAACAATGACCCATTTAGTGTTTTGAACAGCATCGGATTCTTGATAAATATATTCATAATATATTTTTCAAGAATCCATGATGTGACGTGGTGACGAAATTTTATCCAACCCATCCAAATCCGACCCACCCAAAAATTTTCAGATCCGATTCATCCAAATCCGTTTGGCCCAAAAATTTTCAGATCCGATCCATCCAAATCCAGTTGGATCGGATCGGGCCATGGATAATCCAAAAAAATGGATATCCAGCTCACCTCTAATGTATGTATATGTCTGCTTTACGTGTACATATTTGACTGCATAAAAATAGAATAGTAGAGATTTAAGTGTCTTGTTGTTGAGAAAGAAGCTGAGATTAAGATATGTTCATATTTTTATGAAAAATGCGGTTCTCAGTGGACTCCGGCAGCCAGCATGGCATAATTTTGCAAATTTAGCAATTTGCATCCAACCCTGTCAATCATTTTATTTCATTCACCGCACATAAGAGTAGGAGATACAAATCAGAGTGCATCATACATAGCACCGCTTAGCGTAGTGGCAGGAGAGCTGCCTGGCTGGTGGAGGTGATGGAATCGAATCCAGCCGGTATCGAGTTTATTTTTTGCACATTTTTAATACATTTTGCTGCATCGTCATTAAAGCATAATATATCCTTATACTATTTAAATACATAATTACATCTTTATGCATGTTCTTTGTTCGTAAACATATATATTTTTGTTCTATGCTTCGTATTGCGAAATTATTCTAAACTTTTCTTTATTTCACTACCTTCTGCAGGCGGAGTTCTGTGCAAACTGCAATACCAAAGTAGGCCAAAAGAAGCTGAAAAGGATGGCGACAGGAGACATTGTAGAGTTCTTGCGAAAAGAAGGAAAAATAGGCGAATCAGAAATAACTGCACCATTGTGCGAGGATTGTCGTTTTAAGATACTCTCACAATTGACACGTGATCAGAAGCAAATAATACCGGCTAACTCAGAGTCACTTACATTGACAAGAAGCCTTCAAACGGTGAAGCATCTTATTCCGAGAGTAATCATGCAAAGGGATATATCGGGCAGATTTTCGATTCCGTCGAAGTCCACATCAACGCAGCTGCATTTTAATCATTTGATGGAAGTTGCAGAGGCAGAAGAGGTACATGACATAGCTCGCCCCTCTACATCCACGGCTCCAATATCTCCTTCCGATTCATCCAAGACCCCATTCGTTGTTAAGATCCCGTGGTCAAGTCCTTCAGCATATCACGCCTTAAATGCAAAACCCTCACCGCCTCCCACCTATTTTCCCAGTTCAAAACCTGGGTTCAAAAGTTTGGAGGATAGATTAAGGGAACTAAGTTTGCAAGCCGAAATACCAGCTAGGAATATGCCCGAAACAACTTTCCTGCCCCCAGTAGCAGAAGAAGTATTTCAAGCTTTGCTTCCACCATCTCAAAGATCTTTACTTTCTGTGACAGCAAATCTGCAAATAGCAAAAGAGCATCCAAAACAGTCGGCCACTTCATCTCAAAGAAATAATCAATCATCACAGCCGGATAGACTTTCCGAGCATGCAGGACTTGGGATAGCAGGGAAAGATTCAATTGAGTCAGAAGAAGATGAGTTGCATAGTAATGGATCATCTCGGCCAAGCACCCCATCAATTGATTCAGATGAGCGCCCTGACCTCGATGACCGACATATCCCGGTTCAAGGAATTAAACGTACACAAGCGCGATGCTGTGTTTGCGGCGGAAGGGGAAGAAAGTACTCTCTGATTCCATAAGGGTCCATCTTTGGATCACCGCTAGGGTATTTCTGCCATCTGGAAATCGATGCTGTGCAAATCATTTGACTGACGAAGCTCTGGATTTAGAATCTTTTGAAACTCTTGTCTCATTGGCAGCAGGCATACTAGTTTCCGATGCGGAAATACTGCAAATCCTCTCGTTAGTTTCTGACCATGCGCGAAACCTGGAGCGGCGACCAACATCAAACTTTTTTGAGACTGAGGAAGATTGTAAGACTTTAGCTGTCTCTTGAGAACTTCAACAATCTTAGCGTTATCACAGGGAGGCATTTAAATGACTCAAAACGTCGAAGTAAGCGGGTTGCACTTGGAGTTTTCCTGGTTAAACTTCGGCACAATATATCTTTTAAGGTTCTTGCTATGTGGTTCCGTCGTGGATCTGCCTGGAGTGCATCACGCACGTTTCAAAAGGTCTGTGACATCCTTTATGAACACTTTGTTCCATACCATCTTGGTTATCAAGAGAGCCACACAACACACGACGCATTTAGTGCTGCTCACAACACGATGTTGGCAAACGCTTTATTCGAAGGCCCCGAAAACCGAGCTATAATTATCATAGACGCAACATACATCCCAATCGAAAAATCTGCTAATTATGCTGCAGCCAGAAAATCGTGGTCCCAGCACAAATACTATCGCCTGCTAAAAATGATGATTATCTGCGGTGCAGATGGATATGTTCTTGCTGTTCACGGTCCGTACTATGCTGATGGCCGAAACAATGATGAAGCGATTTTTAAAGCGATAACTGATATTGATGGCGAGGGATGTCGTTGGTTCTTCAAGGACGGCGACCTGATAATTTGGGATAGAGGATTTAGATACGTTATAGCCCGTGCGGAAGCTATGGGATTTATAGTAAAAATGCCTCATTTCATGAAACCAAATCAGAAACAGCACAGCACAGGATTTTTTAGTGGAGCGGGTTTAAATGATGATAACTCGGTATGCGGTTTTTTAGTAACCTTATGTAAGTACCATCATTTCTCGAATTGGTAGTATTAAGAAATCTTTAGCCGTTTTAGATATAATGGCCCCTAAAGGTGTCAAAAATTGACATGGCGAAATCTTCCGTTTTTGGCCTGCAGCAGGTGACGGAGGCATTTTCTGGAAACGCGCCCATTATGACTTTTTCTTCTACTACCCTGACCTATAAAACTAGACAGGTTAGAACTCGAAACTCGCTTAGCCGGCAAACAGCCTAAGTTGAGACTAGTCCTTCCATTAGTTTTGATACCCAGATGAAACCCGTTGTGATTGAAGCTACTAATTTCGCTGCAGGTGTTGAAACATAAGGACATATTCTACCACCAAAGCCTTCTTGTAGGATTAGTGAGCCACCAACAACCTGGAGGTTACGACCCGGATCCTTAACCAATAAGAGTACGATCCAAGCTCCTCAACCAGGTATGACTTGTTGTTGGAGCTTACATATGTATGCTCAAAATTGATCATGTAATTTTAAGTGAATGATTTTCAACCCTTGAGGTATCCGTAATTAAAATGCTATCTCTAATAATAATAATTTACACTTTATAGAAAGTCAAAATGAGTCATTATATGACAATGCATACCTGTTCCTGGAACCTCAATGGCGACCAGTTCCTCCAGCAACTGACAGTCCAGAATCAATGAAGATTTTCGAAGAACACAAAAAAGTAAACATTTAAAAAATCGTTTGTCTTAGGATTAGTTTCCTAGGCTGGTACCACTGAAGAAATCGTTTTTTTTAATTTCTCTTTCCAATAGTTTGCTAAACAGTACCTTCAAACCCGCATTGAAATAGAATGTCTACTACAAGCAAAGGAAAATTTGCAACGACTGCTACGCGAGCAGGAAAAATACGGTCCTTTCGGTGGCGAACGGGACTCGCGCATAATTCTTAAGGATTGGAGAGAATTGAAGAGCGAAAATGTGTGTAGATGTATCATAAAGCTATAAATCTAAATACATCAAAATATAATCATGTAGTTATTTAACTTTTGATTGTACACAGGAAATACTGGCCCAACATCATAGCGACTTAAAGAATCAGCTAGAAATGTTGAAATTTCCGAAATAATCTAATGGAGTAACAATAATTTGAAACGGAATTTGTTAAGACAAAAAAAATTTGATCTGGATCAGGTTTTCAGTGTTTGTAGAGCTGATTTTTCTGAGACCGACGGTGGCAGTCTCGTGTCTCAACTCTGCCCCCACTCCGGGTGGGAGGAGCTCAAATTTGGAAAAAATCGCTCCGTCTGCAATTTTTAGCTCAAAGAAGGGTCAATATTTGTGAATGCGGTTTTCACCAAATTTTTTTTAATTTCGTTCCCTACAACCCTTTTCGAGCGTTTTTCGAAATTCTCAAATAGAATTTTCCAATGTGGGACTAAATGTAGATAAAGGTCAAGTCTCACATAACCCCACAAGTGGAAACCGTTGAAATACCGTTGGAAAGGTGTCGGCGCGAGGATTCAAAAAATATATACTTTGTCTTGCACTCTCGGATCTTCCAGAGACAGATGAATGTTTTGAGTTCTTTCTCATTTATTACCTTGTTGGCCCCCAATGTAATGCTGTGTTAAATTCTGAAAATGAAAAACTCGCAAAAACGTGAAAGTCGTTTCAAGAACTTCAAAAAACGCTCGAAAAGGGTTGTAGGGAATAAAATTAGGAAACTTTTGGCGAAAACCGTATTCAGAAATATTGACCCCTCTTTGAACTGAAAATCGCAGACGGAGCGATTTTTTCCAACTTTGAGCTCCTCCCACCCGAAGAGGGGGCAGAGTTCAGACGCGAGACTGCCACCGTTGGTCTCAGAAAAATCAGCTCTACAAATACTGCGAATCTGATCCAGATCAAATTTTTTTGTCTTCACAAATTCCGGTTGAAATTATTGTTACTCAATGATTCGACAACTCGTAAATACATAAATCTACATATTTACCAAGTGAACTACACTTGCTGTTTGGCTAAACACTACAGTAAAAATAATTTTAATACGAAAACCTGCCTGATGAATAGAAATAAATTGCGAGTATTGGGTTTTTTACTATTTGGTTGGAATTGCTTTTCCACCTTGTTTCAAAGTAAGCGACGATGCTGGTCTGGTGAGCCGGGTATTTATTTCTTGGTATCAAGATTATGCCGTAACATTTGCTGTCGAGTTGGTTATCTTGTGCTACATGCGACAACAAATGAATGACGAATAATTAATTACTGAGGAGTAGAAGGTCGCAGGTTGTCAACGCCACATTTTGATGCCTTTCTGATATGTTGTAGTACTATATGAATGTGCGAAAAGTGAAGAAGGGTTTTACTCCATGGCCCCATTTGCGCCCGCCACACCCCCTCAAAGGCGCGCCAAATGCTAAACTAGCCGCACTTAAACCTTCGCCAAAAATCCAATTTTGCTCGGATTTCCAAAAAAATTACATATTCCTGATCCCAGATAGTTCCTTTATCATATTCAATAGCAATCTCAACTTTTCGAAAATAAGAACAGTTTAATTTTGTTTTATACTCGCTCGAGGTTCATTAAACATGATATTTCATTGTGAACTTTGGGGTCGCGAGTTTTGAATATGTGCCACCAATGATAATATTTATCAACACGTGAATGGGTACATGCACTCGTCCTCAATTTTCACTTATTTTGTATAGACATGAAATTAAGAAAATGTAGAAATTTTTGATTAAAATAAAATTCATAATTGTTTTTTTTTGGAACGCATTTCCATCACAGGATATTATAAAGGATATAAAATTACAGTAGATATCTGTCCAGTTTATTGTCTTCAATAAAAAGAGAAGAATTAATTCGCAGTTGGTGGCCTATTTGCCCTGCCATAGCTGAAAGCAGCTGCGACATCAATTATACCGTAACCTGAAATATTCAGAAATATTAATATTATACTGATATCGTATTTTTGAAAAAGTTTTGAAACGTTTGCTACTAATTCATTACCATAAGCATTGTTAGGAAAGTCGGCGCCAGTTGGGAGTCCACAATTCTTGTCGCCAGATGCAAGGCGTGGCTGGTATACATAGGTAGTTAGTGCGCGATACACGTCACCAAATCCTAACAACGGATTGGCAGAGAGGAGGAGAGCAATTGCACCGGCGACGTGTGGGGCTGCCTGTAAACGTAGATTAATTAGTAAAAGGACCATTTGGTTTACATCAAGGGTGCTAAATTTACCATTGACGTTCCCGACATACTGACAAAGTTATACGTCCCCGTCCCGCACGAAACAATGTTATTACCCGGCGCAGACAGTTCTGGTTTCAGATTATATTGATAACTCGGCCCGCGAGATGAAAACCAAGATACTTCATCAGTTTCGTCTGTCGAGCCGACAGCAATCACATGACGGTTATCACCTGGAGATCCGACAGTCTGACAAGCTGGGCCATCGTTACCGCTCGCAAAAGACTGGGATAATTCCGGCATGACGCCACGCGCTAATTTGTGAGTCGAACCACGGAATCCCGCCAGCAATACCCCACGAATTTGAGACAATATTCGGTCTCGGGTTTGACGTCAGCATGAACTCGGCGCACTGTGTAAAAGTCGATTCATTAGCCTGGCCATAATCTGAAATACCTCGACAGGCCATCCATCTAGCGTTAGGCGCTACTCCAACTCCATGGCGGCCGAGAATGATTCCTGCAACGTGGGTACCATGCCCAAGTACATCAGTAGGCTTTTCCGTTGAATAGTGTGGGTCAAGCCATTGTCCGGTGAATGACTCGGTGAGAGAAATGTGACCCAAATTGACCCCACTATCGATAATTCCAACCACAATGCCTTCACCTTTGGTATACTTCCAAATTTCGGGTGCTCTAATTCTTTCCACTCCCCATTGCACTGTGTTAGTAATGTTTGCTACAGGTTCTTGACTCATAGGGGGGAGTGACAACTTATGTTGCGGTCGGATTATGAAGTCCCCTTCGATGGAAGCCAAGTCGATCAGTTTTTCTGGTGTTAGACCCTTCACCTGTACAATGTTTGCTATCCAGAATTGCTGTGTAGTCAGGTTCAGAGAATCGGCCGCAGTGACGACCGGCGCTTGCGTTGTGGAGGTGAGTGCTTTCAACGATGCGACCAGGTGGTTCATCTTGGCGTCACCGGACATGGACTCAAGGCCAGAAATCTGATTTTGGATATTGGGAAATTCGACGATTGCTTCGGTTTCTACATTGTTGTCGACAGCTTCCTTCAGTAATGGGTCAATTTTCCCGGCGGAAATTGCGGTAAAAATGAGGACGACATGATAGAATATAAGTAAGTTCATGGTTGCTTGTTCTGAGCTATTGGTATTGTGAAGTTGTGCTTGGAATAAATGTGATATGATAAAATTGGAGAATTGAACCGCATTTTTATACTCAGTGCTACGTGACCAAAGATTGTGGGTCTTTTCCGATGGACTCAAAATCTTATGTTACGCAAATATTGTTGTTGCTGTCGTTCGAAATTTTAATAATATCTAGTAGCAATTTTAGCGTGCAGCTATTAGTTACAAATAAAATGACGTTTCAAGCGGTCATTGCATATGCAATCAAATAATTTGCACAACAAAAGGGCAGCACTGAACAAAATCCGACACCAGAAGGTGCATTGTCCAACTATGTCATAGATACGTGTAAATAGTGCACGTACCCGCATATGCGATAGAAAAATAGCAAAACACATCGTCTTGTTTGCAATAAATAAGTATCTACATATTTTATACCATTTTGTTGCCTGGATTTTGTAACAGTTGGACGCGTTCTAGATCACGAACGTGTAAATCATAAGTTATTTATAATTCATGACTAGTTATCTATTTAAAATAGCATAGCTATATGCTATTTGAGCTTTACTTTTTACTTTAATAAATAATTTTAAGAAGTTTCTTTCAACTCGCCCCGAAATCTACACAAACCCACAAAAATCCCAAAGATTGTTTTTTTCAAGAAGAGTCCCACGGTTTTCAGAACCCTAACAAAACTAAAAAAACCATTAATGGACCTAAATAAGCGACATGAACGTATGCAATGCTTTTTTCTCTCGAAAGAAATACAATAAATAATCCCCCTCTAATTTTGAACGTTTCAAATTCAACACTTGCCTGTGATAAATTTCAATCAATATGGACGACGAAATTTTATTTTGCAGGTCTGCATTTTGTAAATAACACATTCTAACAATCGGACTATTTTTCAAGCTACACCGGGATTTTTTAGAGTTTTCTACAAAGCCTTAGTATTCCACCATGTACAAAATAAACCATGAACCTTTGCAAAATCGGATAATGAAAAAACACTTAAATAATATGTGGAACCCAATAAATCGAATTTGTCGCATACCTTTGAGCTGTTAGTTGGTTTAGTTTGTCCATCTTTAAATTCTAATTTGGATTCGGCTGAGCATATTTCCGGCATCTGGTTCAACATGCTAAGCTAATCATCCAGATTTACAGTAGTCCACAAGTTTTGAGATGAACACACGAAAGATATTTCTTCACTGGAAGCCACGCAGAAGAGTAGACTACATAATAAAATGCAACTTCCACAAGTGTAAAATACTGTTGTAATTTTGGAATTGGCGTCAAGTTGTGAAACGGAATCGAATTTAGGACGAGTCCAGTTTTTATAGTGATGAAATAACTTTGGAGGTTTCTATAAATTGTGTAAAGTCTTCCAGTGAAACAAAATCCCAGATGTAACCATCACTTTGAGTCTTTTTAAGCCGTAATTGCCGAGCACTGGGAACATCTACCAGCCGCGATAGGCTCCAAATAATGTATCGTCGTCGCCCTTGATATATTTTACTTTATTCACGTTGTCATTAAGAAATACCGTGATGGCAGCTATATTCTCTTTTGTATCCATTAACGCAACCTTTGAACACGTCGACAAAGTTTTCAGTAACAGATTTGTCTGTTGGTATGATATGGGTTGTATTCTACAATCCTTGAGTTCGTCTCTACTATAAGAACCTCCACCCGTTCGCAAATGTCTGTAATAAGTCCCGTTTCCATAGAATCTCATGTCTTCGCCGATCCCAAAAAATTTGCGTACGCAATTTAGAACATTTTGTGTAATCTTCATATAACCTTCGAATCGTTTGTGGCCAATTGATGATTCTGTCAATGTCACCAATGCAGGTAAAAGTTCCCGAAAGAAATGTGCATGTTGAAGTAGCTCTGGCATTTTTGTTTGATCACGCTCTCTTTCATCAAGTGGATTGATTGGGGTTAGTATGTTCACTCCGTCAACTTGTAACACGCTCTCCCACGAGGACGTATACGTGATTGGCAAAATCATTTCCATCGTGAAAAAAGTTTTGTAACAGTTTGGCAATATAATTCCACCCATTATGATCCAAATCGTGATTAGGATGCGTACGCTGTTGACATAGCGAGATAAAAGTTCTGGTCCCGAATTTTCGAGAAGAATTCCAATCACAAACGCGGCGGCGTTAGAAATGCTCGAATGGAAGATGACAATGAAGATGAATGGAGTAAAACTGAGCAGGATGAAGGTCCAGGTTATGCCATCGAACGGGATCGCTAGGGCAGAAATGTGTCCTGAATTTACTGGGTGCACGTCATAACACGAAACATAGCTGAATTTCTGCTTTCCATACACTCTTAGAAAAAACCCACGGGGTAAATGCACTTTTTACACCATACGAAGTAATGTTTACTAAATTCAGGGTAAGTATGACGCTAGATTTAGTAAGCATTACTTCGTATGGTGTAAAAAGTGCATTTATCCCGTGGGTTTTTTCTAAGAGTGTACGCGACAAATGCAATGTGACGTGTCGTGCGGCGAGGGTAAGGAGACCTTTGGATTGGCGGGAATTTGTATGGCCAGGTTATGTTGGGACCGGTATGATGAATAACATCTTGTAAAATCCAGTAACGGATGAAAGCATTGAAAGTTAAGAAATTTGCTATGCTACGATACCCGGTGGGAAGTTTTTTTGAGTCAATCGTTCTGAGCAGTAGATTTAGTTGTCTCGTTTCCCAGAAATGTTTATTTTTCTGGGACACATTTCGGCTGACAGATTGAATTTGAGTGAAACAGTCGTTAGGCAGGCAATCGACTATGTACCATTGTTGCGAGGGTTCTTTGGAAACGAATAGTGCATCCATGTGGTATGGGTTGTAGTAGAGTAGTCGAATTTTGTTGGATGGAATCAGATCGTTTTTAAGGTTGATAATCATAAATTCCCTGACACCAGTGCGATACCTTGCGTCGTGTTGCAACCTTTTCATGCGTTGTTGGATTTTTCTGTGCACTGTTGTAACCCAAATGAAATACTGGTTTTGCCAGTATTCATTTATGAACTCTGGGCCGAATCCGGGATCCAAATTTTCCTGATCCAAGTCGAAATCGGCCCGGGTTACGGGAAGTATGGAAAACAATGCCCAACAATGTGGAGAAGGGTTACGTCTTGCTGTCAAAGAAAATGTATCTTCTATGTCGTATCCTTGATTTAGGACGTAATCATACAACACGATTGGGGCGTATTGGGACATAACAATACCAATACTAACGTTTTCTGGGATTATGACAACTGTAGTGCAGTTTTTGAAATGTTTGAGATATTCGGAAACTTTAATTTCTTGAATGCGCTTATTTATTGTAAAACTTGCGGCACTGGTGACATTATTTTTAATTGTTACAGAATCTTCCATTGTCAGAAGTAATAGTGATAAAATAAAAGATTTACTTTGATGAATACCCGCCATCTCTGGAGTAGGGCGATATTTCGATTAAATAGATTTCGTATGTAAATATGCTTCCACTAATCTACTAACTATCCTGGAAATGATAACCTTAGAAATTAGTTGAATAGTATTTAAATATACGAATCCATGGTGATGTAGACTTTATTTAAATATTTATCTCCAGAAGTGACAGGTTTGTTTTGACAAGCAAACGTTGCTATTTAAAATATTTTATGCCAGTAACATTGTGAATTTGAGATAAAGCTATTGTAACACTGCTAGTATAGCGGATGTGCGGTTAAATTGCCCAATTTGAAGTTTCGAGAACTCTGGCGTTTAATGACTAAATTACTTAAAAGGAACAATTGTACAGGTTGCTTACTTATTGATTAAGTACTAAAGTTGCTAAAACATTTTTCCCTCAGAAAATTAACCAAATATTATTGTGTAGTGCTCAGAATGAATTTTTCATGCGTGGGTTCCTTGTTTTGTATTAAATTACTCCTCGACAGGAATTACTTAAATTTTACTACAAGGTGTACGAAACAATAGAATTTCTTCAAACTAGTTGGGATTCTGATTTCACCATGTCTGGAATGTGACACTGTCTGCACTTTTGCTCATCGTGCTGTTACGACGAATTACTCAAGACCGAACTGCTCTCGTTATTGTAATAAGCATTGTCTGTATTTAGCCTGTATTGGGATGCCGAGTGCTACTTGTGGATGATGCCCACAACTGGATACTTACTTTACTTGATTATATATTTTTTGCAAACGTGATTGTACTGACATTATGAGCAACTGCACACCACCACAAAACTTCGCTGAATTGCACTTTTGATATTTTAAAGCACACGTCTCCGGTTACGATGTTAGATATTACGTTGTAATGTTATAACATTTTAAGATCTTGTAACTGTATGAAACTTTGTTATGTAAACCGAAATGATAATAACCTTGTTATGTAACTTGTACTGATATTTATTCATGCAATGTAACTTTATAGGCGTTTGCCTGAAAAAGTTGTTAATAAATTAAAATACATACTAAGTTAAACTGCACTGAAACTCCTCTGCAGTTCTACTAATTTACGAATGATATCTCAGTACATCAAAAAATCTGCCATCTCCCTCCCATACTTTGAACTTTAATAATAGCCATGCTGTTCCTCCAGCTCACTTTCAGTTCACGATTTGTGTCACGTATTTTATGAACTTTCCCGTGATTTCCTCTTTTCCCTTTTTGGGACGCCTTTTTTGGTTTCAAATGAAAATGAGATTTCTTGGGTGTTGTGACTGCCGTAGAAAATTTTATTAGAACGTCCTACTTTTTGTGAAGCGGAAGTGAAAGAGATGAGTTTTTAAGCGTGTCGAATATTAAACAATCACAAACTTAATGATTTATTTTATTACTTTATCGAATAAGAGATATATGCAAATGTCTACTACAAAATGTGTAGTACGAATGTAGGAAAATGTTTGATATTTTCCTAGACGAGAAGTTACTCAGATGTAGGAATCATGCATTCTTGGGCAATTTTTCAGTATATAAGAAACTCATTTTATTTAATAGGATAAAGTGGAATGTGGAGCGGACTTATTTTAGCACTTTTGAACAGTCCAAATTAAACCTTCTTTTTCAAATTTGTCTAATAGAATATCTAAATAATTAAATTGTTACGGAAAATAAATTTTACACGGCACGGAACTCGTGAAGGACTAAAAAATGCCCATAAATTCAAAACTCGTCCCTCATCATGAATTCCAACCTCTTCAAATATTTACCCCCGGATTTCCCACCATTCAATGCTTGGTAATCAGCGATCAAGCAGTTTTTAAGGTCTTCTTCAAACTTAAGACTTTTCAATTGTAGTATTCCCAACATACTCCGGAACTCTGCATCCAGACGTGAGATTCGCACCTTCCAGCCCCTAATTAATACTTCGACATCATTCAGCTGCAAAAATAAATTAAAAAAGGTTGGTTATAAAAATTTGTAAAATTCGTGTGAGGAGGTCTCCCACCCCTGAAATCCTACTCATTATCGCCTACCCATCATCTCCTACCCGTGATTATTTCCTACCCATGATTATCTGCTACTCGTGATATTTTTTAGCTAACAAAAAATAAATGTTTGATGAAATTGTGTCTGAATAATTTGCATTTTGGTAGGTTAGGTTATGTGGGGGATAACAACGGGTAGGCGATGATGGGTAGGAGTTCATGGGTAGGAAAGATCCGCAAATCCCCTCTTTTTTGCGCCAGGTTGAGTAAATTTGTATTTAGAGTGTATAAAATATAATAAAATTTGTAAACAGCGCAAACATACCTCTTTCACCATATGCTCGCAATATTTCTCAATTTGCCTCGTCCTCCCAATCATCGCAGGTATAGTTTTTCCTAAGATTTCTGTATTATCTTGGGAAAGAAAGTCGAGCAAATATTTTTTGGAATTCTGAAAAAAAACATGCAATGAATGACTAGAAAAACAAATAAATTTCTACGCTCTTAAAAATAATGGTAAACTTTTGAACAGTAAATGCATTCATAAATCTAAATTAATAAAACTATACTACATCCAGAGTAAACTTTATTCTGCATCACTCCAAATTTAGTACAGTTTAGAATTCTGACCGCATTTACTTCTCAAAAGGGTGCGATTATTTTTAAGTGTGAATTTTCATACCTTATGCAGGGTTGCAAGTGGTATATATCACTTCGCGAGATTTAGTGAGATTTAATGATTTATATCAATCATCTCAGTTGGGGCTGAGTGAGAAATATGAGAATTAATGAGCTAAACTTGTAGTTCATGACCCCGTCCGCTAGGTGGCGCTAGTGCATGGCTCACAAATCTCACTATATCTCATATTTCTCATGTCTCACTATTTCTCATTATATCTCAGTGAGATGAGATTTGTGAAGGCGAGATGAGATTTCTGCAACCCTGACCTTATGTCCAAGACTGGTCTGATTTTTCAAGGTTTCAAATACACGCATAATTTCGAAAAATTTCGGCTCCATCAAATCTTCTTTACTCGCTGTGAAATTCTTGTCACGCAGGCTGACTGCGATCTGTCCTTTCCATAACCAGGGTTTCGATTGGTAAAAACCAAATTGACCAGGGCAGTGGGAAAAAGTGGGAAAAAGGCATTTTTACCATCCACCCAAAATAGGTGGGAAATGGGAAAAACGGAAGAAATGGGAAATACTGTGCTTTGGGGCGATGCGAAACAACTTCTTGAAAACTTAATATTTTCAAAATCTGAGTTCATATTCGTATTCTCCATGAAATTCTGAGCAAATAAGTGGGTAACTCGGTTAAAATCGAGCAATCTTTAAAATTAGCATGTATTCATATGGAAAAATGGGGAAAGAGTTCAAAACTGTTCAAAACTGTTCAAAAGTGGCCGTATTATATACCAAAATTTTCAGAATTTGATGGAGATGACGAATATGAAGTCGAATTCCGAAAATATTGAGTATTAAAGAAGTTGGCTTTCCCCATTACTAAACACATGGACCGCCATTTTTCCCGTTCTGGACGGTAAATACCATTTTTCCCGGTTTGTCCCACTTTTTCCCACCTGCCGTGGGAAAAAATAGTTTTGGACGGGAAAATCGAAACCCTGTCCATAACTTTATGTCCCCAATATTCTCAACTTTCTCAAGTCGCCCCGATAAAGATTTGGCAGCGTGAATCCAGTCTTTTAAAATTGACCGGTCGCGTCCAATGCTTTCCAACACGGTGGAAAATTCTTGGGAAAAATTATCCGTCTTTTTTGAATGAGATCATATGTCGTGGCCAAATTCGGAAGTAATTCTTGGGAATTTTTGGAAACACAGATAATCTCTTTGCGATTGTAGATGGAAACTGCGAGTTCGATTTGGTCAATAGCGTGGCCCAACTCGACGAAATATTTCAACGTGTTGGACTGGAATTTGGGGACGGGGTCCTTATTCAAAGTGAGGTTTGGGTCGATGGTGCTGTTTTTCTGGAATTGGTTAATTAAATACATTATTATAAATTAAGTAAACCATTGTAAATCTGGAGTATACTTTACTCTTTATAGAGTCAACGTTATTCTGGATTTATGATAGTCAATTAAATTTTGAGTGCATCTACTATCTAAATTTTTGAGACTACGTCACTTTGGTGGAGTATTACATGAATAAAATTTGGTATTTTTTTAGTACTGGATTTTTAAGAATGTTGAAAAAGTTAAGGATTTAGATACAGAAACAATTAATTTTACTAACCACGGAATTCCGCAATTTGTTCAGATCTCGCCACAAATTGGAGATTTGTTTGAGTTGTTGGTTGCATTTAATGCTGGCCTTATCCTGGATGCGGATAAATGACGATTCGTTGTTCGTGTGAGCATAGGTTTGGCTTCGTAATGAGGAAATAATTACGAATAGAAACGCGACATGGAGGAGAAATTTCATTTCTTGATTAAAACCGGTTTTAGAATTTTTCAAACTGAAATTAATCCGGGTTCGGTTAAATGAGTAATTAAGTAAAATTTAACTGTAATTGAAGTTTTTCGAAATTAGAATTTAATTTTTTGAACAACTCGAAATATGTAAGTTCGATTCTAGCGCGAGGTGAAGACTGGTACACGTAAATTGGAAAGTTGAGGTATTATACGTAAAGGCATCACCTTTGGGGAGGGTGAGTTATTTTTAAAGTGTACCGAAAATGGTGCGTTCTCCAGAGAAGCTGGATTAGAAATATAACTATTTTTATATAGTAGATAGTCCGTTTGGTTTATTTTATTCTAATCTCATTTTTCCAAGAAAGGTAAAAACAGGGCGATTTCTGGAAAAGGATAGATGTACCAATAATCGCATTGGCAGGCAGGATCATTAATCCAGAAGCATTGATAGTACACAGAGCTGGGTAAAAATAATTAATCGATGGTTATTTATTTAATGAATGTACTTATTAAAATGACATTACTTGTCGTTAGGATCCACAAACGGGGGGTAGAATAGGGGGATCCCCATTCCCCACGCAAGACGAGTTATCCACCAGAATACCGACTGATCTCGACTCGCCCCAAAACATTGTATCATCAATTTGAGCAACACCCTTTGTTACAGTGTCACCAACTAAAATTGTGGCCACCAGGAATGCCTAAATTTACGCAAAGCAGAATAAATTCCATTAATAATTTTATTCAATTGAATACAATGTGAAAACTTACGCAAAATGCAACCTTGCAAATTATTATTTGCAACCCCATTTTTGGTTTCTTCTGGACTTCCAACAATTTTATGAGAACCAGGGTCGCAACTTTTTACAGCGTGAGGATACTTATTAAGACCATTTAAGAATAGCCATAGAAAAAGATTCGATAAGGCGAATGCCGCGAAATTTGCATATGTCGTTGGGTAGACATTCTACCACTTAGCATAATTTTTTGAAAAAGTTTTACTCAAAAATGCCAAATTGGCACCCACCAGAGTTGGTCGTGTTGTAAAAACGCCTTCCAAGGAGAAGTACTCACAAAGAGACATTGCTAACAAGTTAAAAACCACGGATTCGAAATAATTAAGATATGATTGTATAATGTGATTCATGGTGATGGAATTCAGCGTGATGCAATAAACCGAGGTGTACAGAACCACCCCCAAATGACCCCAAAGTGAAAAGGACGAAAACGCTCATTTCTCGCGTCCAGAGGGAATCGAGAAAGAAAACCCCCAAAGACAAAGAGCGATTGCAAGGGTTGCGGAAATAAGCACACCGACAATCAGGTAAGTCATTTATCAAGATTTGAATAAAGAAGTTCGACGGAAAACGAAGGTAGACGTCTAGAAGCCATCTCACATTGCAAATCGGAGGACCAATCAAAAAAGCTTTACACAAACCACCTGGCGAAGAATAGAAGTGAGTTTGTTGCCACAATAGATGAGGCTTGAGTCTATCTTGATTACAGCCAGGCAGAAAGAAAAATTTGTACGTCGACAAGGGTGAAAAAATTCAAGATAGTTGAGCGTTGCACGGGCGCGGAAGCTACGGAGAGAAGATCATGGTGGTCGGCCTTCTGACTGGCTGTGGACCAGTTTATCTTATCAAAGTGCCCCCAGAAGTAAAGATTAATGAACAAGTATACATTGTCAGTGTTTTAAAACCATTAGTAGAAGTTATTCTTCCGGAACTCTATCATGGCGAGGTTAACAAGATCCTCATTCATCACGATAAAGCTTCTTCACACACCGCCAAGAAAGTCGTTGACTACGCCAAGACCATTCATGAAAAATTTGGGATTATAATAATTTCGAATAAATAAATGCACGTGAAGTCCCCCGATACGTCACCGATACGTCACCGTCACCAAGGACTATTCCAATAGTATTGGACAGTTACGAAAAAATACCTGTAAATCAAAGAATACTTTTTGGAATTTCAAACATTTTGCATATGTTGAGTACTAAGTTGTTACCATTATAATTTAATTAATCGATAAGGCGGCCACACCCCCTTGAGCCACCAATTCGATTTTCTTTCTAAGATTTCGCATCAAATTTTTTCCCGACTTTCTTCCAACTTCAAGGCTTATTTTCTTCCATCGCCCTTTGAATTTTCTTTATGTGTCGGGTTTTTCTTTTAGCCTTGAGTATTCAGATTCTGAAAGTGCCCAGAATTTCCCGATTGGTCGAAGTTGCGGTACATTGGGAGGGTTCTCATCTTTTCGAACGAAATCAATATTTGATGACATGAGGTATTCGGTCACTTTCTTTGCATAATCACTAGTTGCTAAGTCAGGCCAAAACTGGATTGTGTCATTTTTATGAACCTTTTATATGAATGGTTCCAACCCTTGTTTGATACACTTTTTAAGATACACGTACTAGTTTATATTACAGTCCAAAGTGACAGGGTCTGAAACGTGACCATCACCCGACATGCACTGCCAAATGTAAAATTTCGTCGGAAATTTGTCATTTTTTCTTATTTTTTCTTCATACACAACTTCAGAAGGGTTACTACTGTGGTACAAATGTCTCCCTGGAACATTTGAAGGGTCCACCGGAACGTAAGTCTCGTCGTCCATGATGACCACTTTTCCACACATTTTCTTCAAAAACTTCTTACGACATTCTACAATTCTGGATTTTTGCGTATTCTTGTAATTTGGTGCCGGTTTTTTGGTTCTGGTTTTGATGCCTAGTTTGTGTATTTTAATTTTCACTAAGTAGCTTTGAGAAATATTAATTTTTCTGGCGGCTACAGTCGTTGGCGTGGAGGGTTGGGTTTTGAAAATTTTTCTGATGCGATTTTTCACTTTGGTGGTTCCCAGCTTCACAGGACGACCACTTGGCTTTTTGAATTCGACAGATTCGGATTCCTTGACCTTTTTTATATAAGAGTACATATTTGCCCTTGGGATTCCTTCTGGTTTAAAAAAATGCCAGGTCATTTTCAAGCCACTGTTTGCCTTGTTTTTATAGAACTCGGTCACTCTTTTTTCCAACTCCTTGCTTTCAATCCAACTTCTTCTACCTTTAACCATTTTGAAATAACATGTGTGATACACCGTTGGAAAGCTCTTTAATTGGACTATAAGAAATCAAAATAATTTTTGGCAAATTGTCAACCCTTTTTTTCAAATTCCCACCGCAGCGGGTTGTCCAATACTATTGGAATAGTCCTTTAGATTTTTTCGGCTTCGGTTATCTAAAACAAAAGCTTTTCTCACGGCGCGCGACAACTTTGGATGGACTCTTGAAAGTTGCTCGAGCGGAGTGGAAGACAATTACCCTAGCCATGATTTCAAAAGTTTTTTCAAACTGGAAATTTCGATGCAGAGCTGTGCACAAGAAAAAGGGCTATCAGATTGACAACACAAATCACTCGAAAAAAATTCTTCTGTAAGGTAGTTCAAATTCGAAAAGTGGTCTTAATAAGTGTCCCCACTCTCTGTATACTGTGAATATGTAAAACATCTCTGTTTATATACTTGGCAGAAAAATAAATATGATACTCTCGTCAAATGGAAGTAGATATGAAAGAGTTCCGATTTATTAGGGTTTTATTACAGTAGATAAAATTTACGTTTTTAACAATATTTGTCAAACCTTCAAAATTTATTTAGTATTGCTAATTTCGCCGACATTCAATGAAATGTAATTTCTTGGATTTGATATTTGCGTCATAGTTACTCGAAAGTATTAATTATTCAATTTGAGTTTAAATTTATCAGCCGCATTTATTTATTAGCATGATAAGATAAATATGTAGGATGCCGCAAAGTAATAAAATGAATTACTACGTAGGCAAAGCTCGGAGAGTAAAACTTTACTAAGGACGAATGAACAATAAACCGTTACAACGCATGTAACCAAGGGGTGAAAATTTTAACCGTGAAACTTGTGACCTGTGGCGGTCAAATCTTAATCAGGTATTTCCCTTAACGTAGCGAAATTTTAACTCTTTAGATCATTGCGTTCAAATATTTATCAGACCAACAACAGACGCCTAGACACACGAACGGACATAGCGATTTTATAAAGGGATTTCGCCCCTTAACAATTGAAAACTAGACTCCCATAATTGCGCAGATTAATAAACTTCAAAATTTTGGTGGCATAAACGTTTCGTGGAAGCATTTCACCTAATTTATCAACCGCTCTTGAAGCTATTTTTCTTGTCGAAATAGTACGTAAATCTTAAATGATTGTTTATTCATGGAATATTGACTTCTGAATCTGAAAATAAATGTATTAATAAAGAAAAGTTATCGTAATCAACATGTCCCTGCAACGCATAGGCTCTGGACTTGAGCAAAATATGACCCAGCTGGACAAGTGTTTCCATACTGGCGCATAACTCCTTGGAAAATAATGCAGCGATTGTACTTCCTGCAGTCGGAAAAGTCAGGAAAGTAACCTTCGCTGATTCCTCATACGAATGCTGTGTTTAAAATTTGAAAATATTGGCATCTCATGTGCATTAAGATCTAAAGAATTTGAAAATTACGTGGCAACGGGAAGCAATCACCGTTAGCAGCATCGTAGTAACCTCCCCGACTGCATTGAAAATGCAAGATTACGTAGTAGTCATCAAACCAATAGCATTGATAATACGAAGTTCTGCATACAATTATAAAGTGTATGTGCAAATTTTTATATACATATTTATTAGAGTACAAAAAACGTATCAAAATTACATGTCGTCCGGATCCGGAAAAGGATTTTCGTCAACGCAAGTCTCGTTGGTAAGACTATTCAGAATACCTGCGTTCAAAATGAGGGAATCGTCATTTTGAGCAAAACTCTTTGTCAAAGTGTCCTCCACCATGATTGTGGCCACCACAAATATCTAAATTTATGTGCGTGGACATGAGAATAAATAAATTTCGTTTAATATACAGACCGGAAAATAAGGCAGGAAAACTTACGACAAGTGCAGTCTTGGAAATTATTGGGAATCTCATTTTTGAATCGTGTTGTAATGTACCTTGTTAATTAAACTTCCAGCAAACTAATGACAAGAAGAATGGGAGCGATTCGTACTATTTGTTAGAAAGAACTGGACAGGAATTTATTGGTAGAGGTTATATGGTACACTCATCAGATTGAGGTGTGAAAGAGTTCCGACTTAATTGGTAGGCTATTACCCTGGTTAATAATCGTTCTTAAAAAGATTTGGCCCACTTATCGGCTTTATTGCATCACCCCCAGCTTACGTAATCATTGGATTGTGTCAATCATAGCGTTATCTCACTAGGTACACTACTAGAGTGTCCCACTACATGATCACCTAATTTGTAGGTGATCTATACCTCTGCTAAATGTGCACATGTCCGTATAAAACTTAACCAGTGTGTTATTTGCTTAATACTATTCGCTCTAGTATCCAGATCCGCGAAACATGTTAAATAAGAATTTTATAAATATGGTGGAAAAACAATCTGCATAAACTGGTTAGTACGTTGCTCAGTGCAGAGTACTTAACCAATTCGATATAAAATCATTACACTTTTTTTAAATTTCCTTCCCAGTGTTTGAATTTGATCTAGAATAGTACGCGTTAGCTTTACTAGGAGCCAAATGCTCAAACTTTGCTCGAAACTATGTCAATGGGGGCATTTTCATGTAAATCATTATTATTGCAATTCGTGCCTAATTATTTGCGAATACTCGTGTGCGCGATTATCCGACTTACTTAAAAAACTTACCATTCCCTATATTTATATAGTTACGATTGGCTACTACGTGTAACACATTTTCTAACACATCTAAAGCATACCTAGTGAGTGTGGTAATCAAAGGAATATATACGTCAGTAAGCTTATTTTTTAAGTCTTTATCCATAAATTGAATCGGTAAAGTTATATTGCCAACTGGCGGTTCACATATGTATGTAATTAGTTAGTAAATATGGTTGTAATTACGTAATGCAATATAATTTCTCGGATTTTATATTTACGTCAAAGAGACTTGATCATGCCGATTAATTATTTAATTTGATTTTAAATTTATTGCAGCCGCATTTTTATTAGCTCGTGTCGTATGTATGTAGGATGCCGCAATGTAATACAAAATAATTAAGCGTGATATAATTTATGCCCACCAAAAAACACGTGCCCATTTGATTAACATTGCGAGTAAATTCAAATTAAACCCATCACTCTTAAATATTTTCCAATCATAAGCAATTTAGTCCAATTCCACTATCATATGTAGTTTGGAATGCGAATATTCTGCCTTCCTGTCTTTATCAAAATTAGCGGATCCACTTCTTAGTTATGAGGGGAAAATAATTTTAGTAAAACTTTCTTTGCTACAGTACGCAGAAATTTAAATCGTACCCTTTTCTGTGATGGCATAAACGAATGTGTTTCTGTTTGGAAATCAATTTTTATTATGCATTACATGAATTTTATAGGAAATTTAACGTAGATTCCGAAAATGATGCGCGTTTTGGATTTTTCGTTACCCATAATGAAAAAGTGGAGGAAAGTCTAAAATTAACGCAAAAAAAATAAACTGTACCCTCGCGGATGTTGAATAATAATTTTATCTACTAACTAATTAGTACTTCGTGGAGCATCAATTTGCTTCAATTGTACTCCGTGGCATGGATTCCACTAAATTTTTGGTCACTTCCGGTATTCCCATGCGTCACTTGTGATGGGGTTCAAGTCATTTTTCGACTTCGGAAATTCGCTGGAAAGCCGTCTCTTCAATTCTGACCATAATAAATATTCTATGGGATTGAGGCCAGGAGATTAGGATATGCATAGAATATGGCATTATGTTTTTATTGGAACTGGGTAATTACAACATGTGTGGCAGATCTCGGCGTCAAATTGTTTGAGTTTGAATTAGACATTCTTGACACAATTACATACTTATGAGAATTTATTTGCAAGTTCTTGTGATCTGCGATGCAAAGTTCTGAAAATCTGCAAGTCATTGCTTGGTTAAATAGTCTGCCTCGTGCTCGACATCCAAATAAGTAAGTACGTACATATATAAAATATCTAGTACGGCTGCAAGTATCCTAAGATTCTATGCCATATCTTAGGATTATTATGTATGTAGGTTTCTGAGAGGTATGTAAATACGTAAATATATAAATAAATAGGTACTTGTTAAGAAAAGGAGTATAAATGGATAAATTGAAAACGGGACAATGGACCGAAAATTTATTATAAAGTTGCTGCCAAGGAGAAAAAATGCCAGCTAAATCAACAAATATGTATGAGTATACTCTTAAAAGTGGACTCACCAAGTACTACAGCATATCCAAAGGGCATCGAAATCAGCGATTCTGTCGGTGATGGGTTGTCTTCCTTAGTGAGGGATTGCAATCACAACTTGAATTAAAATTAGACTGCATAATTTTTGCATCACCGCTCACAATTTAGACCTCGGCCTCACATCGGGAATCTTAGGTTAGGTTAGGCCTCAGCGACGTCGGCCTCGGCCTCTCCAGTTTTCGAAAAATATGCCTAAGACCTCACTGACCTCGGCCGAAGAGGCCCAAAAAGAGGTCGTTTCCTCGGCCTCTACAATTAAAAAATAATCCGGTGCCTATGACATCAGATGGCCTCCGTCTGGCGAGATAGTTCAAAGCATTAGGGCTCAGGTTGAGAACCGGAGCCCACTCGTTTATGTTTATGGGCCCCTTTTACCCATAAACATTGTTCCATGTTCGCTGGGAAGTTCAGAATGTTTTTCCTCAACTAAATGCGGGAAATTGAGACAAGTTGATCATGAAAGTATGCAAGCAAAAGAGTAACAAAGTTATTCTGTAAGTTTGCTCGCATTTTAGTTTTTCGTTTGTTTTAGAAATTCTTTTATTTGTTATTGAAATGTTGAATAATATATACACAACAAACCTGGAGCATCGGGGGCCGGTCCCAGCCCGGGGCCGGTACGTGGGACGTACCCCTATTTCCGCCACTGCCAGGGTTGTTAAAGATACCGTAATTTGATCAAATTACGGTATGTTTAACAACCCTGAATTTTACCAATCGTAAACTAAACAATTTTACGTCACGAACTTAGCGTCCATTAGCAAACGGATGAACGAATAAATTATTCAAACTGTTTGAGTCCACAGCAATGAAATAAGTATCTGTTTGTTTATGCCATTTGGCTAAGAACCACGTATCCAAATTTTCAATAAAAAACACTAGAATATTGCAAGAAAGCAAACCATAATTCTGAACTCTTCAACTTCTTAAGAAAACAAATTTCTCGATTTTTTTAACTGGATTGCAAAAACTGGACAAAATCCAAGAAATGAAGCCTTCCTGCAATTCGTACTATAAGGCCTTGCTAAATATTTTATTTCTTACTTGTGTGATACCCTACCGACCGGATTACGGGACTAGTAACAATAAATATGTCCTTAAGTACTGTCCTGTGCAGATGGTGAGTAATCTACGTTGTAAAAAAAGTTGAGTAGAATTGCCACCAGGACAACAATGAGTAAAAGTAAAAGTTACCCCGCCAAAGTTAAAATTTACTCAAGGCTGAAAAAAAATCTTTCAAAGTTGGATAAATTTTAACTTTTATTGGATAACTTTTACTCATTATTTGTCCTAGTGGCAATTTCACTCAAACTTGAGTAAATGTTACTCAATTTTTTTAGTATGTATTAAGATTTGTTATTTGTTTTTACTAAACCCAATATTAATTTGTTTCTTAATCCTTAATTTTTCCCTATATGTAGGTCGTTTGTGTCATACTTTCCAGCGTCTCGCTACTCTTCTCAATTTTCCATTTTGGCCTTATTATGACTCACGCCAATATTGGGGCCAACCCCACGGAAATATTTTACCACGCGTCTCTCCTTAGTGATATTTCGCTTGGAACTGTATGCATGGGAACGATCTGGCTGAAGCAGGAATCCATCAGGGAAATCCTTTGTATTGGGGCGGCTCAAAAGCATCATGTTTTAATGGTTAGTGAGCTCAATACTCAGGGTTTTCCTGGGTCTCTGGACAGCCTATGGTTCACAATAAATGCCAAAGCCACTTTTGAAATTTGCCTCGTGGGGATTTTTTTCCTATGGACAACTGAACAATAAAACATTTTTGTTCTTTTATATTTTTCGAAAAAGTGACCGTGTGACCGGTTAAAAAACATTGAAGTTTTGCTACTTTACGTATACTTGCATGCAAAATACATTCTTAAGACAATCAGTAAACTCGGTTTAATATATGACCCTACCGCCTTGGTAATGATTTGGTAGTAAATTTTAAAAATTAATACCAAATGGTACAAAAGTTAATACTACCTAGTAATAAAATGATTACCACATGGTATTATTTCATTACCGAATCTGTACCAGGGTGGTACAACCGTTTAATACCAAAGCGGTAGAGTTACACATCAATACCGCTCATTTTTTTAATACCCAGTTTCTAAGAGTGTACATAGCAAAATGTCAATGTTTTTAACAGGTCACACGGTCACTTTTTCGAAAAATATGAAATTACAAAAATTTCTTATTGTTAAATTTTCTATAAGAAAAAAATCATTACCAGGATAATTTCAAAAGTGGCTTTAGAATGAACTGTGAAGCATAGGCTGTCCAGAGACCCTGAAAGTACCCCAGCTTTGTATTTAAATAATTGATTGAATTGAATTTGACAGAGGGCGCTAATCGCGTTAGGAATAATCACGACTTTTGTGTACTTCTCACTGTTTGAGGGATGTCAATGTGCAACGTCCCCTACATGCGAGTCCCAGCTGTACCAGTGGATCTTGAACACGAAACGGGTCCTTGGCAAGTTTGGATACGCACAATACGCCGTTAATTTAACTGCAAATACGACTTTGTCCGACTTGTCGGCGTCGGAAACAGGCATAACAGCATTTTTTGTAGGGCTGCTCAAGTTTATGGGACTTTTCACTTCGTTCGGTGCGGCTCTGATGCTGACAAGTAGTGTCACGGTACAATCTGAAGTTTCAAAAATTTTGAAGGAATTCGATCTGATGGAAGCGGTATAATTATTTTCGTAAACTGGTGCTTGTTCTACTAACACTACACTCTTAAGAAAATCAGTAAAACCGGTATTGATGAATGACTC